GGTCTCTCCCACGGGAACATGGGTCCTCCACGAGCTTCTCCAATATGGGTCCTTCCCATGGGCTGCAGTTCTCCAGGAACTGCTGCAGCACAGGTCCCTTTCCACAGGGTGCAGTGCTTCAGGAACAGCTTGCTCCAGTGTGGGACCGCACAGGGTCACAATCCTGACAGCAAACCTGCTTCTGTGTGGCTCCCTCCCCAGGGCCACAGGTTCTGCCAGGAGCCTGTTTCAGCAGAGACTTCCCAGAGGATCACAGCCTCCTTCAAGCATCCACCTGCTCCAACACAGAATCCTTCACAGGAGGATCCCTGCTGCACCACGGACCTCCACGGCCTGCTGGGCCACAGCTGCCTCACCATGGGCTGCACCATGGGCTGCTCTGGCACCTGGAGAATCTCCTCCCCTCCTGCACTGACCTTCCTGTGTGCAGATCTGCTTCTCTCACATGCTTTCACTGCTCTTCTTGAACTGCTGCCTCTGTTGTGCAGGTTTTCCTCCCCCATTCCCCACTGTCCCAGAGGCACTACCACCACCACAGATGGGCTCAGCCTTGGCCAGAGGCAGGTCTGTCTTGGCTGGCACCGGCTCTGTCACACACAGAAGAGGCTTCTGGCACCTCCTCACAGAAGCCTCCCCACAGCTCCCAAAGCCTTGCCTTGAAGACACAATTCATTACAGCTGACTAAATCACAAAGTCATCTGCGTGATCCTCTGGTTTTTCAGGAGGTGAAAATACTGAACTTTTACAATTCTATACCTGGGGCACAGTTAGCTGTCCCAATAAAAACAGCAATTGTCACTACTCCCTCTGGTACTGCCATCCTAAAAGAGCTGAAAAGTTCCTCTGTACTGTACTCTACAGCTTTTCTCTGGAAGACAGTTAAGAAAACCTTAAAAATTATATTTCTGTGTTACTATAAACACCTCTAAACATATCCACTCAAAATTTTTTTTGTCCACAGCTCAAAATATTGTTATCGCCCCCTTTCAGTGTTTCTCTGGAGTAATTGTATTGATTTTTCTCAAGCTGGATTTTCTGCGCTGCTTCCAGTAATTCTACCATTTTCACCTGACTTTGCTCTTCTTCTGCCAGCATAGTACTTCCATATATTAATCATCCAGCTTATTTGTGACACATCTTCACTAGCTCTTCTAATCTCTCAATATCCTTGTGAGCTTTCATGCACACATTTGAATTCTTATTGTGGCTTCGTTGTTCAAGTGCATTCATTTTCATCAGCTATGTGTTATCTTTGTTCACTCAAGCAGCACAACCTTTAGCCATCTTCTGGTCACTCATATCTCAACTGCTGGCCCTTCCCTGAAATGTCACTTCGCTACACGGTGCAAAGATGTAAAAACCCCAAACAATCCATTCATGCTCTGCTTACAGACAAATTCATCAAGTGATACTGAAATCTCTACTTTTACATCACTTCATGTTTTAAACACAGAAGCTGAAGAAGAGTAAATTTAGTCCAGACTAGACTGGTAAATAATGCTCAGCTTCATCAGTCACATTCCAATTTTTTTGTTTTCCCTTTTATGGCTCCTATCAACTCTCACTACATAACATTTGTTACAGCATGCTGGTTTTCACACCTACCTTCAAAGCTTGCAGACCTTTTGGATCCGCACATGTTAAAAGCAGGGGGGGGGGGGGAAGAAGAAAGTGTAGACTTGATCTGAAAATCAGACAAGGATTTCCATGCATACACTCCGCAGAAGAAATCAACAGAAAATACCTGAGATTCAGTTCTGTAAGACAACCTTCTACATGAAACTGCAAAACACAGGAAGTAAGCCATCCTTTTCACTCTTACGTATTCCTTACCTGCAGTAACATATCCCACCTGTGAGGCTGCAACCCAAACATACTGCAGTTTCAATGTACACAAGATTCACAAGACCAACACAAGATCAACCGACACTTAGAAATACCATTAGTACCTGCTTTCTAACCGGATCTGGTAACCAATTGTCTGGCCAATCTTCTCTCTTCTTTCTGCTGCCACTCTTTCAGCCACAGCAACAGCTGCTAAACGTCTTGGCTGAGTACAAAACACACGACAGGGAGTTCCATTCTTGTAGCAGTCATCAAGGATAAATTGAGGGATCTGTAAAGAAGTGGTTCAAATTTGCTTTTTGAGAAAGTCACAGCTTTGTTAGCACAGGGAAACCATTAACTGCATATCAATATTGCACATTGCAAAAGACTTTTCATTACAATTATCACAGCAAGCCAATCTGAATCAGCAGAAAATAAATTCCTAAGTATAACCTATTTAGGTTTTTTTAAAAAAAACCTTACAGTGCCTCCCTCCTGCTTCAGAGAAATCTAAAAAAAAAAAAAAAGAAGAAGAAAAAGGGATATACAAACATCACAGCTATTTTCCCTTCAATATTTTGTATTATTTTAATGAAAAAATGGTATCTACCAGAAAATTGTGAGGAATCATTTATGCTTCTAGTACCTATCTAGAGGCCTAGTGTTTCAAAAGCAAGAAAATGAATTGGAACAACATTTTCAATCACACAGGAAAAGGAAAGCCTTAAAATAGCATAAAAGTATCCCATATCACAAATGTTACACAATTGGCATTAGTTTAGAATAAATACTGTTATAGTTTTTATTTCATTGAAGCAACATACCTGCGTCGTTTTTCCTGATCCAGTCTCTCCTATAACTAAAACAATTTTATTGTCCTTTATGATTTGGACAATTTCTTCCTGTTTTTCAAGAACTGGTAGTGACTGCCTGAAGGAATCAAACTCTGATTCCCCTCTTTTCACTGGGACCTGGGGGATACCATCATTAAGTCGACCACTTGTCTTGTTTACTTCTTTGTTTTCTGCAAAGACAAGTTAAAAGTTTATTTATGCAGACACAGAGGAAGGTCACAAAAACACTGCTCAAAAACTGTACTTAAAAATTAACATTGCTGACTTTTTATGCATCCCTGTCGGTAAAGTGACAAACCCATCACACATTTAGACGTCATTTTTATAGCATGTCCTGCAGTGCTTGGAATAGATATTTTTCAAAACAGTTATTACTTTCATGGGTATTTTGAAGAAAACCAGACTCTTCCACAGCATTGCTCCATGTCAAAAAAGCCTACAAAGAGCAAAAGGAGAAGCAAACTAAACCAGAGAATACCAGCCTGGTGTATTTTGGTGGCCTTTGTATCTGCGCCCACATTTCACACCTGCAGTTCCCCCTAGAAATACACACTGACAGAGTTAAACCTTTAAGCTATTCCACACGTTTGCCTGAAATCATACCAATGCAAGCATGCTGTATCAAGAGCCCTGGCCCCCACACAGCAGTGCGATGCGTTAGAAAGCGGTGCATGAGCAGCCAAAAAACGGGCACATCTTCTGAGGGAGCCACTTCACATCCATCATTGCAAGTACCACTCTATAATTCCTTGAGAACTATTTTCTGGCAGAATGAAAAGCTCACTGTAAACTCATTTATACATATTTAATGTCATTAACAGATTCATATACTAAATTTCAAGCTCTGTTGTACCAAGACAAACAGACTAACAGATCAGAAGAACTAAAAATACATACTTGAGATGCAGAGAAAGGCAAATATTAGACTGTTCATTAACTTATCCCTTACATTCCTAAGACATTGCATTTCAGTACTTTTATTACAGCTTCCCTCTGTTCATATAACAATCCTATTAAACAACTAGAACAATTGAAAATAACAGCAAAGAAAGCACTTCAAGAACAGACACCACGTATCAGAAACATGCAATTAAACAAGGCATACTGGTACAAATGTTTTCTGTTCACTACACCCATCTCTGCTCACAAAAACACAGTGCAACTCTTCCACTTGTAGCTGCTAAAGCAATAATCTAGATGAAAACCTTGCTTTAAAAAAAAAAACCCAACATTTTGATAGAAGTTTGTCTTTCAGTGAACTCTTCCATATTCGAGAAATCAACAAGTCTGGACAGTAGTCTCTTAAGGACCAAATCTATTTTGTAGAGATGAAGAAATAAAAACTAAAATTATTGATTTATCAAGGACATTAATTTCTATAAGCAGAACAGACAACCGCATTTTCTCATATAGGCATTCTTATGGCATCACAATAACACTGACTCTTCAACCCCACCTCATAGTACTTGTGTGAAGCCACACTTCAAAATGTGCTTCCAAAAAGATTTGGCTGGAACTGGCTCAAAGATTCTAAATTAACACAACACAAGGTGGACATCTCAATGTGCATAATATGACTTCCCAAGTTCCTCACAGCACCAGTTATAAAAGACCTTAAAAGTACAGAAAATTAATGCATTTGTTTGAAAGTGTCTGTTAGGACACCAGAGGGGACAGAGCAGAAAGAGGTTTGTTTTGTCATGGTTTCAAGTGGTGTTGATGGGCAAGTCCAAATCAGAACACATGCTGAACGTACCAGATGCAACAGCACGGACACTTCCTCGCTCTGTCCTTGGCAGGAGCTCCTTGCGTTCCTTATTTGTGACGGGAAAGCGCTGAATTAGACTCCGAACGGCGTGTTTCGTACGGAGAGCCAAGTCACAAGTCATGACTACGTGTGCCTCTGACACATCCTTCTTCCTTACAGTCAGGTATCGATTGGCTCCTTTTCTGTCAGGGGGGAGAGAAAACTTATTTTAGTAAAAAGGAACCTACTCTAGGTTAACTTTTATCTGTCAGGGTATGAGACGCTATGCAAATTCTTTGGAAAAAAAAAAACAGAAATCACAGTGAGAAGCTTTTTTAATGGAGCCATTAAATCCACAAAGTATAAAATCAAGCTGTCCCAAAATGCATGTCACAAGCTTTTCCAAGCATGCATACAGCAATGAACAAATATGCTCATTTCTGTAGCTACTTTTACACTTTTTTCTCTAATACTATTCCTTGCAACACAGTTGAGTATGTTGAAAACATCAATCAGGTTATCATTAGTCTTGAAATTCTATCCGTCTGCACCAAAGAACTGAAAATTGTACCCTGACTCACCCTTTGCTTTTAGACACCAGTCCAAGAGACTGACAGAGCCGGTGAACAAATGCTCTTTCAGTACTAGTGAAACTAGAAGGAAATTCCATCTCTAGAATGATAAATAATAATGAAAAGACAGTAACAATGCAACAGGCAGTAATCTTGACATCTCAATGTTACAGAACCACAGAATTGTTAGGACTGGAAGGGAGACCACCCAGTGCAACCCCCCTGCAGGGTCACCTGGAGCAGGTGACAGAGGAACACATCTAGGGTTTGGGATGTCTCCAGAGAGGGAAATTCAACGCTTTCCCTGGGCAGCAGTTTCAGTGCTCTGCCACTCTCAAAGGAAAGAAGTTCTCCCTCATGTTCAGGTGGAACTTCTTCTGTTTTAATTTATGGCCATTGCTCCTTGTCCTGTCACCAAACTGGCTGCACCACCTTCCTGGGACTCATCTTGGAGATATTCATATGCAGTAGTGAGATCCCCTCTCAGTCTCCTCTGGGCTAAACAGGACCAACCCCCACACCTTTCCTGATAAGAGATGCTCCAGACCTCTCATCTCAGTGGTCTCTGCTGGACCCGCTCTATTAGCTCCCTGTCTCCGTGCTGGGAAGCCCAGAGCTGGACACAGCACCCCAGCTGTGCCTCACCGGGGCCGGGCAGAGGGGCAGGATCCCCTCCCTGACCGCTGCCAGCGCCCTCCCCGCAGGCTGCCCCCGGGCCGGGCCGTGCCGCGCACCCGCCTCGTCCCCGCTCTGGAACCGCTCCAGGGCCAGCTGCACCGCCATTTCCACCTCCTCGTCCACGCCGGCCTCCCTGAGGGGCTCGGCCCGGGCGCGCACCGCGGCGGCGGCAGCCCCGTCCCCCGCAGCCCCGCCGGGCTGCCGCCGCGGGACCCGCCTGTGTCGCGACATGTCCCCGACACGGCCCCACACGGCCCCACACGGCCCCGACACCGACGCGGATCGGGGACCGCAGCTGCTCGGCCCGAGGGGCGACGCTGGGGCGGGGCGGGGCTCGCCCGCAGCCGAGCTGGCCCGAACGGAAGGAAATTGGCGCTTTTCCTGCCGGTCCGGGGGCACGGCTGCCCAAGGCCCGGGCTGGGTGTGTGGCTGCGAGCAAAACGTGGCACTGGTACCTGTCCCGTCATAAATTACGTGCTTTCAGGGCATGGTATTAAACGTAGCTGTGGCGGGGGTCATCTCGGCCCTCAGCCTCCTCACTCTGTAAAGTGTTACTTGCCCTGCTTTTCCTGCTGTCCTTTGACTCCACACTGAAGACACGAGGTAGAAATTTAACCAAATCCACTTGGGCCTGACACAGGCCTCGCTATTGAAGGCTGCTGCTTCGGAAACATCATTAGGTCAGAAGGAGAGTACTTGGAAGAAGAACAAACTACTCCTCAGTTGAAATGGGCAATTAAATAAATAGAAAATAAACACTCACTGTCTGATGTAGCTGGCTGAAAAATAGCTCTTAAGCAACCTCTACCAAAGCTTTTACAAAGCTAACTTCAGCATAATTCTGCACTGAGAGATCACACTGCAGCGGAACAATTGATCTGTTCTAAGGTTACTTTAATTTTTTTTTTTCAGTTTTTCAGTTCAGGTATGTTATAAATGAAAGTTTATTCAGCCAAATTAAAAAAAACAAAACAATTTTATTTGCGGTCAAATTCTATCTAGCCAACCACAGGAAAAAAAAAGGAAAAGAGAAGAAAAAAAACAGTGCCGAGCCCGGGGTCAGCCCTGGGTGTGCGACAAGAAGTCAGCCTCAGGAGAGGTTTTCCTCTACGTCCACACACCCTTCCATCCTGGTACAAGCAAGTTTTATAGGGATAATTCCACCTGAGGCCAAGATTTTTGTAATCAGTCCTTTCTTCTATTCAGAGTCCATATGTTAATAATTCAGTGTCTGGAGTTTGTTGAATCCACATGGATCTGTCTGGGAATTTCCGAGATATCCATCTCGGGTCGTTCACGAGATGATCAGCGCCATGGCCCATTGTCTGGCGTCTGGCTAGCTGTATCTTCTCACTTGTAAATGAGCTTCTTAACATACACCTGGTCTCGGGGGGGGGGGGGGGGGGGGGGGGGGGGAGGGGGGTGGGGGGGGGAGGGGGGGGGGGGGGGAGGCTAGTACAAACGAGGTAAATCTAACAAGTATTTAACATTATATATTCCGTATAAGGAAAGGCGCAAATTATGTCTATTACCCATAACAATCCCCCACCTTCTATATTAACCCATTAATTTGCGCCCTAATTTCTGCCTCTACTGAATCCCAAGATTTCTTTATTTTTATTCGCTTTCATTTATTACATTTGGAATTTCCTGGTAAATTTTATAGTTTTGTTCTTTACCTTTTATTCATCTTTCAAATTTTGCTAGGGCCTCAGCTGCCCTGCTATGAGGAATTTCTTCTCCTAGTGTCATTATTTTTGGTACCTGATTTGTTTTTCCTAGGGCAGCTTCTGGGTCTGTGGGTAATGCTGCTATTTGCATACCCTGCACCACTGAATGGATGAGTCTTATAAAGCAGGGGATGAGACAAGGTAGGAATATGACTCCTGCTACTGAACATAAAATGAAGAAAATTACTTTCTTCCACCAAGCCCCATCAAACAAATGGTCCCACCACGATGCTTGGAGAAGTGAGTTCCACTTTTGTACTGGAACATGAGCTACCCTTTTAATTTCTGTGGCCAGATCTCTAATGGTTTCTCCATAATCATCTATTTCTACACAGCATTGAGATTCGTTAAATTTTCCACACACACCTCCTTCTCCAGCTAGTAAGTAATCAAGGGCTATCCTGTTTTGGTACACAAAAGCCCTCATTTGAGAGTGTTGTTGGGATAATAATTCAAGAGCATCCGAAGTGTGATTGGATACAATCTCCACTACAGCTTGCAATCTTATTAAACGGTTTAGTAAATAGATGGGGGTCCGGTATCCCCACGACCCATCCTGAGCCCATGTGGCAGGACCATAATATTCAATGATCCTTTCAGCAGGCCATTCATCCTCTCCCCAAGTTTGTTCCCCACCGATGAGAGGGAATCTTTCTTTAAGCTCCTCTTTTCTCGGTTCAGTGAAAATGGGCATTTCTTGCTTTACTGCACACTACTGGATACACTTCTACATTGATAGTTCCTCAGACCTTTGGCTGCTGATCCGGGTGATTGCCTCTGCCCCCTTTCTGTAACCTCTCCTATCATTCACTGACACATCATTTCTTACTTTTCTGTCTTTTCCACTTCCACTTCCCTTACTTCAGTTTTATTTCTTTTTGAGACATGAAAGAAAAAGCTTTTTGATCAGTTCTGTCTTTGTAAAACAATCTCTCTCAGGTCCTCACTTGCCATGGTCCAGAACTTGGGCTTTGTCTCTACAAATCCATTTCCCACATCACTGTTGAACTGAACTGAACTGCAGCCCTTCAATGCCCTCAAGGCATCCATAGAGTTCAGCAATGAATCCAGAATGAAGGCTGGGAAGAGCATGATTCCAACAGGGTCAGATATGCCCCAGTTCTTCCCACAGCTTTCTCCACTACTCCTCACTCCTAAATTGAGAAACTCTAGTTTCCAGTGTGAGTAAATGACAGAACAGAGGAGGGAGAGTGGAATGATCCTGTGCTAACAGATCTTTCTGGGTCTACAACATGTTATAAAGGCAGCATGAAAAGTGCAGGGATCCCATGTCTTGTGAGCTTAGGAGTAGACTGAAGGCAGAAGGATTTCATACCTGTGATTCATGTGCTTGTGTCTTTGCTGAAATGGGAACTGATGTGCTCCTTAGGGAGATAAATTTATCCAGAATGTAATTTCCTATTAGAATACTTCGGTATTCTGAAATATTTTGATGAAAATAAAACCTATGTTGCAGAAATTTCTGGAGGACAGAACATGTTTAACTATCACAGTCATCAGCAGAAAAAGGTTTTGAGGTTACTTAATAGTCACAGTCTACAAAAAGACCATTTATATTTACATGTGTCCCCACTTCTTTTGACCAAAGTAGTATTTTGTTAAAAGAGATATAGCTTCAAATAACATACATTGACAAAAAAATAGTGGGAATATTCAATATTTTTGTTTACATGTCTATACAAGAAATGAGGAAGTGAACTTCTAATTTTCTGTATCCAAAATGTGGATCCTTATGTAAGATCCAGGAGTAGGAACCTGCTTGAGTAGGAGAGCAGTTTAGGATCTTTTTGGAAAAAGGGGCAAACCTGTTCTCATTTCTATTAATCATCATCATCATCACAAAAAAGTACACTTTTCAGAACAGTTTTACAAGGTGGTTGAGCATTTATGAAGATGAAAAATGAGTAGGAAGCTTCTCAAAAGAGGCACTGATATTCTACCTTAAAATTAATATTCTCTCTAAAGTATTTTTAATTCTAGATAAAATATCTCAATTTTGCAGATCACTCTTGGGAGCAGGAGGAGAAAAATCAAAAAAATCAGCCTCACCAAAAAAAAAAAAAAAATTTCTTTTGAATATATTGTTTTAAGAACTTTCAAACAGCTCTACTTCCTAAGAATTCCAAAGTAAAGGCTGCACAAGACTTATATTTTTAGATGGAGCTTGGAATCATAGATCTGTGATGAGAAGTGGATTTAAACAAAGAAGATAATACAGTGATAGACACAAAATACATTCAGACACAAGATTTTGATGAGAATTTAACTTAGCAATTTTGTAGCTGAACCATTGCTCTGTTAGCACCAGATGCAGTTTGCTGTATACAATGATGTTTTAAATAACATTAATTTGAATTCATATTATATGTCTGTTACTTCAAATCTTTTTACAGTGTAGGTCAGTAAACAAAGATGGTCTTTATCTGAAGCCAACTGAAACATGGGATAATCTCTCCTTTGACACCACCAGGCATTGCTTTTGATCATAGTGTGCCTCAAAATCTTCAGTCTGAATACCTAAGCAGTGGCAGCAATTAGAATAGCGAACTTTCCTGTCTATCTTACAGCATAATCAAAAATATGCATTTTGTAAGCTGCATTATAGAAAATAAATTATGTTTTTAATTTCATTTCCCTAATTAAAAAAAAAAAGAAAAAAAAAGAAAAAAAGGTAGGTTTACAAAGGAAATTACTTCTTTTTAGCCCTTATGTTACCTGGGCATGGTTTATATAGGCTAGGCACAGATTTAGATCTGAGCATACCTACATCTTAGTAGCTTGGTATACATGTGCAAACTCACATTCACATTATGTGAGTGCCTGGTGGCCAAGCCAGCTCCACCCTGGTCCCATGTCCCAGCCTGCTCTTTGTTGTCCCCAGGGAGGTTTCTGATATCCTGGGCTGACCTGGCTGTGGTGGCTGGGTGGTCCTGGCTGCCAAGCCCTGCTGTGCCTTCCCAGACAGCCCCTGCAACTTCTGGTTCCCCAGCCCCTCGAGATTTTGATTGTAATACTGACACAAGAATCCATGGATTGGGATCTGACCTGAGCTGCAGAGTTCAGGTGATTAGAAATTATAAGTTAAATTGTATTATAAATTCCTTACCATGCTAGTTACAGATTATACTATGTTGACTCTGCTTGTAGAAATCCTGTGCCATTCTAATAAGAAATTCTCTTCTATATCAATTATAACATCCTGTTAAGAAAACAAAGTTTTAATTGTACCTATCGTTTAGTGCCATACTCACTCGGCCAATATCCCCAAGAGAACCCATCTGTGTTGGGTAACAGTGTCACTCAGATTACACTGATATGTCTATTAACTGAGAACCTCAGGGAGCAACAGGGAACTTTTAGGCAAGTGTGTGAAAAGGACTAGATGTAGTATTTAGGAAATTGAAAGAGATGGTATTCTGGGCAGTTGGACTCTGCATGCTGAGAAAGTTCTGCATTGCACACCCTGGCTACCTTGCTCAAAGGAATATTACTATATTAAAACTTCCTGCATGCAAATTAACTCACCAACTTGTTTTGTTGGTGGGTTCTGAAAGAGTTAATTGAAAATGCTATGGCTGAATGTTATCCAGAGGGAAGCTTTTCTCTTTTTTTGGTCAGTTGATTTTAGTCATTTGGCAG